TGAAGAGTTTAAAAATATTTTTCATTTTGTTAAATTTAAAAGAGTTGAATTTGGGCTGGGGTTGTGGCTCAGCAAGGTGCTGGGTTTGATCCTCAGCACTACATAAAAATAAATAAATAAATGTATTTAAAAACAAAGAGTTGAATTTAAAGTAGATTAAGAACCAAAAACAGTAGTAAAACTACTGCTGAGCAGGAGATGGTAGGGAAAGGGTGTGGTAATTACCATTCAAATCATTTGTCCATACGTTTTCAGTTCATACATAAAGTTATAACTTCATATGACACTGTGCTATATCAGAGCTCTATGCAATGGCAAGAGGTAGTCTTAAGGGAAGAGCAAAACACTAAGATTCTTATTACTTAAATTGTATTTACCATATAAAAACCTCTAGGGTTGTCAAAAATTTAACAGTTTTGACTTTGATAATAGCTAGTCTCCTTAATAGCGAGGGAGATTTGTTTCAGTATTACATTTACTCAAAGACACTGTTCCTTTCTGAATGTTCCAAGACACATATATTCTGTTCTTTGTTTTGGTAAGCAGGCTTTTACATCTAGGGAGACAAATAAATGTCAAATATCAAGGAGAAAAAGAGCCAGGTCTTCCAGGTAAGATGGGTTTTTGCTGTTGATCTTGGGATCTTTTACTTCCTGCAGCTAGTTTTACTTCCTCGTCTGCTAGTTACCAACAGACCCAGAATGCTTTTCAACAACTCCTCTTTGCTATTGCTATTATCTCTCTCTTGTGATCAAAGTTTCCAACCAGTATAAAAATAATAACTTTTGGACATTGATTTTAAAAACAAATGTCTTATGTTTTTTGGCTAGTATATGCCAGTCAATTGTTGAGGACTGGCAATTATATTGAACAGAAAATCCAGTTCAACATAAACAAAAATACATGAAACCTTATTTTTGGAATTGTCCAGTTGTGGAATTGAGATCTGTTCTATTCTCATCCAGTTCAAACCCAAACTTAAGTCCATTTGGTGACTTTATAGCAGGAGGCAGACAAAGAATATTGGTAGATAAGGAATTCCCTTAGAGAGCAGGACAATCTGTTAGATATGCCAGATAGGCCTTAAAAAAATTCATGCTTTTCAATATCCTTTTGTTTAACTCCAATAAATCCCCTCCTGACTCAGTGATAAGCAGGCTGAGGTAGTTACTTTTATTTTTGGCAACCATAAAAGTAGTCATTCCACCATCTGGGAAGACAGTATAAATGTCTTTTGAATAGATATCTCCAGGATAAATGCCAACTGAGCTGGTTCTGTTCAAAGCCTGCAGAGCAACTTGAACTCAATTATATGCTTTCTTTAGCCAAATCAATATGCTGTACACACCAAGATTGTGTGTGACCAGTTGAATTTCAATTTCAGAAGTCTCTTCTTTTCTAAAAAGTTGAAAATACAGATTTTCAGTTTGAGAAAATAGACTATAATTTTAAAAGATAATACTCTGTGTATGTGAAATATGTCTTTGTTGAAAACAAAGCAACTGCAGGATTATAAACAAGTTGTGATTCAAAAGCCTGGTGAATCCATTGTTTAGAACTTGCTACAAAGTTCTCCATAAAACCATTCACAAATCACAGCTAACATTTATTGAACATTTACTGCTTATCCAAACTTGTGCTAAGTGCTTACAACATTATTGATCTTACTTTGAACAATTCTACTAGGGGGTGAATGCTTCTATTTTGCAGTTTGTTGATAAGGAAAGAGGTTAGGCAATCAAAGAGGTTAGGTAATCAATTCCAGGTTATACAGCCATAGAGTGTCAGGAAAGAACCTAAACCTCAGCAAGAGACCATCTCCAAAGCCTGCCTTAGCCTGAGCTTTAAACAGCATGAATTCCATTTCTTGCTGATGGAGCAGATCAGTGGCTAGTCTATTTATCCTAGAGTCATAATAGTAACTTTAGCTCTGAGACACAAATATTCTGGGACACAGAACAGGATAGGGGAGAAATGTTTTTTTGTTTTTTTTTTTTAAGAAAATCTGGGCATTGATTGAAAGAATTTTTAAAGCATGATTTATCCATTCTGTATTTCTGAATGCAAGACTGAAGCAGATTAACCTTTGGACAAAGACCAATTAAAATTTTCCATTTTCTTTCCCTTTAAACTCTTCTGAGTATGATGGTGACAAGGGTATTTTTCACATATCTTTCAATTCAATGGCACTGAAACTAATTTTTATAAGTTGAATAGTAAGTACTAATTCTTAGTTAAAGAAGAACTATCGTTATTTTCAATAACAACATTTCATTGGATATTAAACAATAATTAAACAACCAATCAAAAGTATCAAACAAACAATACTTATTTAATAATTATAAGTTATTTTCTTCAGCCTTAAAGACTTTCTAAAACTCTCTGATAGTCACACTTTTCTAGAAAAATTGCCAGGCTTTCTTCCTCTTTATCATGCAAATATTTAGCTTAATTAGTGTATTCTTTTAGCCTCCAATTTTTTATATATACAAATCCAAAGCAATGAATTTACTGGTCACTATTTCCATATCAACCTCAGTTTTCCTCTTTGCTCAGTACAGATAGACGTAGGCTATTTCTTCTAACAGTTATGAGTTTGTCTTACTACCTAAAGCTCATAAAATAGAAAGCGTATTTTATAATTTAAAAGAAAACAGAACAATCTTTACTGAAAGTTCTTGGATGAGGCTTATTATGTACCTAAGATTCTAAATAAAAGTGTACTCTCTTCTCAGATGGCACATTTTCTTCTCTTTCATCACCTCTCCCAAAGTGAGGCTCCCTAACTTTTATGTAAACATGATGCCAAAAGCACCGAAATTCCTCTGTTAACAAGGTGGCTGATTCCACTTATCATATCTAGCTAAATGTAGTTGGAACTGACTTGCCAGTAGTGGTGATAGGTTACAGTGAATCACTCCCACTCCAACCAGTGCCCCTGGTGACCAATGGCATGTACTTCTGAGGTAATGGTCACAAGTTAGGCTCCAGGCTGTGGTTGAGAAGCTGCTTTTCTGTAAGACAATGTTAACTGTTACTGGAATTCTACCCTAAAACTTGGCACTATCTCACAACTGATGTTTCTTAACATTTATAGACAATTATATACCCTCAGACTTGCAAAGTAAAATATAAGGGTGAGTTGGGATCCTCCTCCTGGTAGTCACCTATGGACTCTTAAGGTAGAGATACCTAGTAGACTCTTAAAGGATAACAAATTAGGCAGGCCACAGAGAAGAGAGAAAACATTTAAAGATACCAAAAGGGAATAGGAAAATGATACATGCAGATGACTGCAAGTAGTTTGTGATAGGTGCATGAGATAGGCATGGGTGGAAGAGTAGCAAGAGACATAGCTAGAGAAAGAATCTGTGACTTGATGGTGAAAGTATTTGTAGCAATGCTTAGTTAGAGGGCAGTGGAGAGTCACAGGCCACGTGCAGCAAGAATAAAATATGAACAGATCCACTCAGCCTTTGTGGACAGCTTAAAAGAGAACAGGAAAACAAATCAGGAGCTGCTATAATAATTCGGGTGAGAAATGATGAGTCTGAACAACTCTGGGTATGGAGTTGTGGTCAGATGTAAGAGATACTAAAAATGAGAAAAATCATAGTGATTGATAGAGAGTAAGAAAGAGCTACGGTGATTTTCAAGTTGTTAATGTGAATAGCTGGTTGAACTAAAGGGCTACGAAGTAGCTTTAGCTTGGGCAGGGGATGAAATAAAACCAGTAGCCCGTAAAGGGACTGGCTATCCTGCATATGCTGATGCTTGTGAGGTACTGGTGTTTTCCATTTAATACATTTTCTCCTGAGAAAATAATTTTAAATCATCATTAAATCATCAAAGCTTATTTTAGCTCTTTGATATTACAGATGGTTTGCTCTATATTTCCAGAAGCAAAGAAGAGGTCACAATCAATGGTAAATATATTTTTAATTTATAGATTTCTGTAAGTACCAAATGGATTAAAGCCAAATTCATAAGCAAACACATGTTACAACCCATCTGCTTTTAAACAGAAACAGTTTCTGTTTAAACAATTTCAAGAACAAATGCCAAATATCCCAGAGATGCTTCAAATTACCAAGCCATGCCATGGTACTTGAACCATTTGCTACTTGGAAATACACCAAATGTAGATACATGTTAGAAATCTGGTTTTGTAGACCTTAAAACATCCTTAAATTATATATTCTGAAAAACAAAATATGAGAAAAAGATTTTTATGGTGTTTCACCTCCCAAATGCACACCTTTTCTTGATGGGCGAATACCAAGAAAAATTCCTAAGTATACTGCTAAGTACTATAGGAAAGCCTGAGTAGCACTGGGCTGAACTAAAACCCCAAACTGCAAAAGACTCTTTACAAAGTATCTAGATGCTTACAAAACAGAATAGTTTTGAAAAATCCATTAAAATGTATTTTATCAAGGATAAATTATATAGCCAGTTTTCTTGGAAGGAATGAATTATCAAAATTCTGAGACATGATTTTTTTAGCATTTCTCAAAAAAAAAATTTTATAAAACTCGTACAAATCAGTATCTAGTTTCATAATAACCATTAATGTAAACCCAGGGTAACTTTTTGCCCTACTTATTTCTTTATCTGGCTTAACCTAGGTCAAAAGCAGAATAAATTTCCTACACATAGACGTCTTAAATGAAGAGCTGGCAGATAATAACTCCCACATCCATGTCCTCCCCAAAAAAAGGAAGGATGGAGAGAAAAAAATAAATAACTGTCATCAAATATTGACTCTTTTGGATACCTAGATTCATGGTTGGTCTATTGAAACTGCTTCTAAAACATGAAAAGGTTGGTATTAGTAGCAGAGAATATTTTCTTTCTTTTTAATATGGCAGAAAAGGAAGGAAGGAAGTTGGTCTTCTCAACTGAAAAACATCATATATGAAAAAAATAGAGAGCTTAAAATATTTCTATTATAATTGACAAATACAGTGTCTTGGCAGTGTATTAGAAGAACCACTTACTCAAGAAGATCTGGATCCAGTCCTTCTGATATCATTTTGTTTCTTATTGCCATCACCGGAACACCCTAAACAAAACATAATAATTCAGTCATTAAAAATGCCCCTGTGCCTCCTTCATCGTGCTTCCACATGCCATCTAAAATAAGATCTTTAGATGCATCATTATTTAAAATAGTCCTATTTGCTTTTGTTAGTCTGTGCACTTGAATAATTTGTAACAAAGTACACATGTAAGCTTATTCATTACTAATTCTGCTGTATAGAAAGCAGAGATAATATTCCCGCACTTATGTAGCCAACAGAAAAACACTGATAGGTCAAATGATTAAAACCAACTGAAGTGATACAATGAATACTTACTTAAATATAGGAATAAATGTCTTTTCAAGTAAAAATAAAGATTTCAGAATGTTTTTTAAATATAATATAGTCATACTAATATTATTCTAATAAGAAAATGATCCAATTCCATTTAGACACCTTAGGAACATAGGTTAAATAGAATTCAAGGACCCTCTGGGTACTTCATTATACATATTCCAAACACAAAGCAATAACAGTTGTATAAGTGTATTAAGTTGCAAAAATATTCAGAAAATGTGAATTTCATCATTCAGGTTAAGAATATCAAAACAGTAAGAAAAGGACACAACAGAAATAAACACAAATTTACTGGAAAAGGAATCTGATTTGATGAATAAACACACTTATTTACAGCTCACCTGATTAAACTCTAAGGGAAAAAGTCACAATCAAACCTCCGTCAACTCCCCCTCTTCACACCATTCCCAAAGATAAAGAAACTAACCTGATGTATAAAATTAACGGCCTTGATTATATCACTTCAAGAAGTAGGGTGCATCACTGAAGGGGACCTTGTCCTTATGTCTCTTTATCCCATGTGGCAGAAGGAGGAGGTTGAGTTGGGTCCAATGGGAAAAAGCTCAATCACTGCTCTATTGCTATTGCAAACTCTTCCCTTCTGTCTTCCCATGCACAAGCCAGATGTGCCATTCAGTTTGGAACTTAAGGTACAGAAGAGGCTCCTTGGGAACTTTGATGCTTTAACCCAATTTCTCAGAGCTGGTGCCTAAAGTTTCTGGGCACTAGCCCAGCTAAGGTTCCTTTGCTTTCTTTTCTAAAAGTCCCTGATGTGTTTTCTGGCCTCTGGGATCCTACAAGGTGGTTAGCAGTGAATTTTCTACAGTTAGTGGTAGAATTCTGATATCCCAACCCACACTTCAATGTTTAACATCATGTGGCAGCACAATGATAATAGAGACCTGCATAATGGGCAATGTGAGATTCAGGGCAAGCCAGATTACTGAAGGACCAATTAAAGAATCACTGAGGTGATCTTTGAGTTATTATCCTGAAGATAAATTAGTGGTTTGCTTCAAATGAAAAACACAAAAACTTAGAAATACACAAATTTTTATTTGTCATACATAATAAGCTTGTCTAAAATATTTTTAAAGAACAAGTAAATATCCTCACAGTTACTTCTCTTGTCCAAAATGCAAATTTTACATTTCCAAATAAAATCTGACTTAAGTCCAGACAAGCACATGTAGAAACATGGAAGCCAACTATATTATGAATTCAATACAAATATATTTACTGTTTTCAAAAAAATTATTAATGTGTAATTACACAGTAGTGGGTTTCATTGTGGCATATTTGTATAAGCACATAACAAGTTGATTGATTTTAGTCCCCAGATATTTCTTATAGAAATGTTATAGATCTTCCTAAATCAGGTCAGATTATCATTAATGATGATCCTTGGGTTTTAAATCAGAAAATTTTATTTATTTCAAAAATTTCTTATTTACCTTTAAACTGTCCATAAGAGGCATTTATAAGAAGAACCATAATTGTTGATTTGGGCTGAGGAGGAAGAAAAGTCCCTGTGCTCTCTTAGAGTTTGTGAGGTTAAATGAGGCTGGCAAACAAAGGCTTTCTTTCAAGATTACAGGTCACTCAGAAGATATCTTCTCATGAGGGGGAGAGCAAAGGCAAGGCAGCCATCTGAAGAACCATTTATATATTTATCTTCATAGCTACTGTGTTTTATATTATGAATTAGAAAAATTTAACCTATTAAAGATTCAAATAACAATGGATGCTTAAATGCATTCTAAGTACTGGATAGAATTTAAATAGCATCAACATCAAATCCTCTTCAAAACCATACCCCTAAAAGTACTCTTGTTTCACAAGACAACTTTATGATATTCTGAAAAGTGAATTATGTTTGGAAGACAAAGAAGATAGAAGATAAAACTCTGGACCTTCAGTAACAAAGCTTTAAGGATAAATGGAAGATTAGAAAAGAAAAGGCCTACTTTGCTTAGCAGTATGCAATGTGAATAAACTCTTTACATTCAGAATAAAATAAGCAAGAGATTAAACAAGCACCAATTTTTAAATATATCACCTAGAACCAAGACTTAACTTTAGATTTAAAACAAAATTTACTTAATAACAAAATTAATTTAAGTTTAATAATAGAGGAGAAAGCTAACTCCTTAAATGATAAAGAATTTAACTTGATAATTAAATGTCATCCAACTATTTAGGATACCAGGGAAAGTTAGAATCTTGGAACATTTCATAAAAAGAAAAAAACACTAAAGTACTAAGGAGATAAAAGGGGAAAAAATAGAGGTAATGTCATACTTCTTTTAAAAAAAGCTCTCTCAGCTTCTATTAATTATGGTTTGATGGTATATGGGCTTTCTATAAACCCAATTTTGTGATTTATTTATTATAATTAGAATAATCCACAGGACATCATTGGAAAGGTTAGACAAATAAGTTACAAAGCTGAGAAAACAGAAGGGAAAAGAAATGAGGTTGAAAAAGAAATTCCTGAAATACAGCAAAGAAAGTATGTATGGGGTGGAGGAGAGGGAAGATAGTGGCAGAAAGAGAGTAATGGAGAATAGTGATGTTAGTGAAATTAGTAGAATTAGAATTATCTTAACATAGTTTAACATTAGTAGAATTAGATTTATCTTAACATTAGTTTCATGGAATTGGTCATAGTAAAAGGATATCCATATTCTAATCTTAGCTTCTTGGAACTGGTTACAGTACAAGAGTATAGATAAACCCAAAATTCAGGAAGTCTTCATCATTTCTATATAGGTAAAGGAAAATACATATGACTTCTAATATTTTATCCTATGAGAGACATATTTTGTACAAATCTCACAAAACATGATAAAAAAGAATAATTTGGCCTGGGTTCCAAAGGATGCATTCCAAAGGGATTTGCTGTAATGTTTCCAGTGATGTTGCTTAGAAAATTAGTTGTTTTTCTATATTCTTCCTTAGACGTCAAGTAACAGAGTCTGGTTTGTTAAACATCAAAAAGAAGTGTCCAATTTCTAATCACCAAGAGACAAAGCTACTGGTGGTCTAAGGAGGACATGAGAGACCTCAAAACTAAAGTCTACTGAACTGTGGGATTTTTTTTGGCAAGTGATAATGGCAGTTTGTCCAACATAAGTAATGAAGAAGAGAGAAGGCAGCCATAAGTCTGATGTTCCAAAAAATCACGTCTGTATTTGCGTCACTGGAGAAAGTGTATAAAGAAGCCACACTAATGAAATTATGATGGCAGCACTAATGGTTAAATACTAGTTTCTTATATCACAAAAACTGTCTGGAGGTTTAAAGCCCTGCCAATATTTATATATATTTGTTGCTGGGTTAATGAAAGCCAAGCTACTAAGTCTCTTTATAAACCATGTTGAAATTTTCATGAAGTTTTAGATTAGAAGAAAGGAAAGTTACTATTAAGTTTAACAGATATAAATGACTTTGTGTTTTTTAAAACAAAAAACAATGTTCTTTGTATTTTAGCTTTTCCTCTCATTTTATGAGTTTGAATCACAACAATTCAGTTAGGAAAGAGGGAAAATATGAAGTTTCTTTTTCTACTTAGAACAACAATAAAAAAGATGTACTGAATTGATAGGTGGACAAAATGTGTTTTATTTTTCAGGAATAAGGAAAGAGCAGGAATTTGAAAAGATGCTATTGGCTAGGAAAAGGCAGGATGTTCTTCAATCACGTTCCTTTTACTTTAATTTAGTGAAATGCACTCAACCATATCTTTGCCTTTTGACTTTCAATAGTGCTATTTTAAAAATAGGCTGCATATAGTGAAATACTTTTGTAGGGTATTATATTTAGGACAATTTTTTAGATAGATAACTGTTTCCTAAAAAAAATCATAACACAAAAGAAAGCACATACGTAATCTTTCTCCATCTGTAAACTTTCAAGGAAGGCATAAAATATCAATTTAAACAAATCTCTTCATCATTATAACATGAATATAACTCCCTAACAAAAGTGAAGTTTTATCTCTAAAGACTTGTATGAATCTAGAAAATGTTATACTCTGATACTGTTGCTATCAAGGGTTGAACTTCAATATATAGGTCAATAAAAGGCTCACAAATATTGACTAGTACTATACATAATGAAAGCTAAAAATAAACTATTCTCTTTTCAAGGATTATCTCAAAAGATGAGTTTGTAGTAGAAATACTTTCTTACTGACTGCCATCATATTTCTTTAAGATGAAGGAACAATTTACATGAAAAAATGGATGAAAATGAAGATGGCCCAGTGGTACACACCTGTAATCCCAGCAACTATGAAGGCTGAGGCAGGAGGACTGCAAGTTTGAGGTCAGCTTCAGCAACTTAGCAAGACGCTATCTCAATAAATGAATAAGTAAATACATAAAAAGGGCTGGGATGTAGCTGAGTGTAGAGTATACCCAGGTTTAATCCCTAATACTGCAATTAAAAAATTAACACATACTGGTCATGATCAGAACCCCAGAAAATTGGTAAGGCAATTACTATTCTTTATTCATAAAATAAATACATTTTAGAAAGATGTCTGTACCTTTTAGGGATAAGGAACTATGAAGAAAAAACTTTAAGAAAATTATTTCAAAAAGCCAGGAATCTGTTATTATGAGACAATTCCAAATAAAGCTATATAAATTCTTTCCATGTGATTAATTTACCTCCTACC